TTAGAGAATGATTTATCTACATAAATATCATCAAGGGTGAGTTCAACATATAATAGTTTTAATATTTAAAACTATTTCAACTACACCATTTTTCTTCACTTGAGAAAATTCATAGCTCATAAATAACATTGATATAATACAAATCAATTCAGATGCCATATTTATTCCAAAAAGAATAAACACAAATCAATTCAGAATGATATATGTAGTAGATAAAGCATCACCTTAATCGTAACAGAGACTAAGTCATGATACATTCTGAAATAATAGCATCTTTACTGCATTAAAGAAGCCAACCTCCTAGGCAAATCTCTTGCAATCTTAGTCCAAAGGATTATATATCTACATGTATAGCATGAACATCCAAAGGGACCAGAATGTGAAACTTAGAGATAGATGATTCATGAATGTATTACTGACACCCATTAAATGATAAAATAAATAATCATACATGCACATTTAAGCATTAATAATATATAATACTTAGCTCAAGTAGGAGGTAGTAGACAACCAACCATTGTTCTGAGATGACAAAGCCATGGGTTTCTTAGAAAATGCTTAAGACGAGACCCCAAAGAACGATGGGCAGCGAAACAGCTTCTCAAACACCCACTTCTCCAGGAAATTAATTCTTTCGCTTTGTCAAAACAAGAATTGATCATAATTCCCCCAGCAAGTATTCTTGATCAAGGCATTTGGAATTCATCAATGGAGGAATCACAAAGCACTTGTGAACATACCCACACATTTACTACTTCATCAGATTCTCCGAAGCAAAGGGTGGAACACTTCAATTTCCCCCCACAAAGTTGTTTGTGATCAAGCTATTTGATTTCTTCTCCATATATATCTACTCGATTTCATGTTGGAATATATGCTATTCACATTGATATGTTGATTGCTCATGCATATAATCTATATACAACCACAAAATTATCATCATGTAGACATGCCATTTGTATAGATATATGTAGATATGTGCAATGTGAATACAAACCTAATTGTATGCATATTTAAGACTGAAATGGATAATTCGTCTCTATGCACATCTAATGGATCACATGAATTGAACAAAGAAATAAGCTTTGGTATACGCAAACATTATTTGAATTAAAACTCCCAATAGTGTTTGCCTTTTGTACTCCATTGTTTATCTACTTACCTTTGTTAAAAGACCCATACGTATATACATATGCAAAGCATTAATTAATACATAATCACCAAAAGCACGTGTGGAGTACCTAGCTAGCCACCGAATTTGCTGTAATTGACCATATGAATAAAACATAAAGACAATAGTAAAATATATGAGTACCAATTGCACACATTAAGATTAGTGTGTATATACATGCAGTTGGTCACACACCATGTATAATATATATTCATTATATGAATACGCACATGAATTATGGATGCCCGCATAAACTAATAATATGTTATACTTAGCTTTGCATGTAAGTCGTATAAAACGCAGCACTTGGTATTCATGTTGTAACATTACCATCGCCTTGGCCTGAACATCGTAGCAAATCGACAAGTGTATCTTTTACATGGTCGGGCCGGACATCAAATTCACCATTATCAGTATGAATTCGCTTCTATATTGTTGGAAATATAGACTGATAAAGTGAAAAATAAATAAATATTGTGTCGTGGTATAACCACTGCCATAGAAGCGAATTCGCCGCTACCGGTGCAGGCTCACAACAGCGGCGTCGCCCCCGAAGGTTAACACAACAATCCCCGTCTCTGTGCACCCGGAGCAGGGATTGGAACATACACAACCTTCTCAGAGTGGAAAATGGATAATAAAGTTAACAATACAATGTTTTTCTGTATCCTTTAACTCAATAACACCCCACCTTAAATAGTAAAAGGCCAAACAATTAAGACCATAGACGCTTAACAAATCTTGGCCATTCACCACCTTGTGGTGAATAGTGGACCAAGACTAAGTTATCAGTAAATATTGGCCAGACACTTGCATTTTCCCAACAGAGGCCAATTCTCTTGCAATATAATAACTCTGTCAATTTACTCTCTCACGCTCTCCTTTAAATTATTTTACGATTGTGTTGGCCTGCCGTCCGATTGCCTCGTGGTCATGAAATCAACATTGTCATTCAAGAAAGATTGAATGGTTCTAAAGTAAAGAGAAAATGCAGTGAGAATTTAATAATTATCTCAAAATTTGAGGGCACCCATATAAGAGCAATTGTGTGAGGTTTTTTTGTTTTTTTGCAGGGAGGAAATAAGAGGTGAGGTGGAGGGAAGAGAAAAGAACGAAAAAAAAAAAAACTTAATTTGTGGGAAAAATATTTTTTTGACTCATTTGAAGTTACATCAAGAAGAAGAAAAATATTGGAAGTAAAATTTAGGACGGGAAGAAAAGTATTTTTCTAATAATTTTACACCCAACTTGAGAGGCTTTTTCCACTATATATAAAGAGATGCAAAGCAGAGTGGATTGGTCACACGACGCCCAATGGCTTCCCTCACTTCTCCATGCACTCCCACCGCCACCACCCCAAAGTCTTTCTCCTCCGCCGCCAATTTGTCAACTCCCCTTTCCAAACCCTCCCAACATCTCATCAGCTCCAAACGTAACCGCCACTTCAAGATCTCATGCAACGCCGCCGGCGACGGCGGCGGCGACTCCCAATCCAAGCTTGACCGGCGAGATGTCCTCCTCGGCTTGGGCGGCCTCTACGGTGCTTCCAGCCTCGTCTCCAACCCCCTGGCCTTCGCCGCGCCCATCCAAGCCCCGGAGATCGCCAAATGTGAAGTCCCACCCGCCGATCTCCCGCCCGGCGCCGTAGTCGATAACTGTTGCCCTCCCGTGGCGACCAACGTTATTAACTACAAGCTCCCGGCTGTGACCACCATGAGAGTCCGCCCCGCGGCTCACACCATGGACAAAGACGCCATCGCCAAGTTCGCGAAAGCCGTCGAGCTCATGAAGGCTTTGCCGGCCGACGATCCCCGGAACTTCTACCAGCAAGCGCTCGTCCATTGCGCTTACTGCAACGGCGCTTACGACCAAGTCAACTTCCCTGACCAGGAAATCCAAGTCCACAACTCTTGGCTCTTCTTCCCTTTCCACAGATGGTACCTCTACTTCTACGAGAGAATCTTGGGCAAATTGATCGGCGACCCCTCATTCGGATTGCCGTTCTGGAACTGGGACAACCCCGCCGGAATGGTGCTTCCCAGTTTTCTCAACGACTCCACATCCTCTCTCTACGACAGTAACCGTAACCAAGCTCACCTCCCACCTGTCCTCGTCGACCTCGGCTACAATGGAGCGGATACCGATGTGACCAACCAGCAAAGAATCTCCGACAACCTTGCTTTGATGTACAAGCAAATGGTCACCAATGCCGGAACCGCGGAACTTTTCCTCGGAAAAGCTTACCGTGCCGGAGACGCTCCTAGCCCTGGTGCAGGCTCCATCGAGACCAGCCCTCACATTCCAATTCATAGGTACGTACGTAACCTGCACAATTCCAAAATATTATATGGCTTCCTACATTTATATTTTTGTCTCAAAATATCTCCACATTTGAGCAGGCCAGTAGCCAAATTGGTTAGATAGTTTACTTGATAACCACAATATTACAAATTCAACTCATTTGATTAGCTAGAGACAACTTAGGTAGCTCAGTTATGAGCACCCTAGACTAGTTGCTGGTCATGGACAATTTGGGCTGTCTATTTTAATTTGAGTTGATCCGTTAAGGCAACTTAGACAGCTCCGATCCGCAACCCTAGCATCCAAGTTTGTTAGACAGTTGACTTAATAACCACAATGTTACAAATTCAACTCAATTGACCCACACAGACAACTTACCCAGCTCAGTTATAAGCAACTTAGACTAGTTGTTGGTCATGGGCAACTTAGGTTGTAGGCAACTTAGACATCTCCAATTTGCTATGAACAATTTAAGACTGGTTGTAGTTCCTATCTTGCAATCATTTGCCAACTAAAGTTATAAAGCAAAATTTATGCTCTACACATTTTTAGATAATAGCTGCTAACACAGGTGGGTGGGTGACCCGAGAAACAAGAACAATGAAGACATGGGCAACTTCTACTCGGCCGGAAGGGACATAGCCTTCTACTGCCACCACTCCAATGTTGACCGCATGTGGACCATATGGCAGCAGCTCGCCGGAAAACCAAGAAAGCGAGACTACACCGATTCCGATTGGTTGAACTCCACCTTCCTCTTCTACGACGAGAACGGCCAGGCAGTGAAGGTCCGGGTGGGAGACACCCTAGACAACCAGAAAATGGGGTACAAGTACGCCAAAACCCCCCTCCCATGGCTCGACTCCAAGCCAGTTCCCACCAAGAAAAAGGGCGGCTACGCCGCCAAGTCTAAGGCACCCTTCGTCACCAGCGTCTTCCCCGTCACGCTCGACAAGGTTGTCCAGGTCAAGGTTGCTCGGCCCAAGAAGTCCAGGAGGGCAGAGGAGAAAGAGGCGGAAGAAGAAATCTTGCTCATAGAAGGCATTGAGGTGGCCATTGACAAGTACGCCAAGTTCGACGTTTACCTGAACGACGAGGACGACCCCAGCGGCGGCAAAGACAAGGCGGAGTACGCCGGGAGCTTTGCGCATCTCCCCCACAAGCACAAGGGGATGAAGAAGATCAGGACTACTCTCAGCCTGGGTCTGAATGAGCCGCTGGAGGATTTGGGCGCCGAGGACGACGACGATATTCTGGTGACTTTGGCTCCAAAAGTTGGCGGCGGCGTTGTCTCCGTCGACAACATCAAGATCGTCTACGGCTCTTAGAATGCCATGCCGCCGCCGCCGACGTCGTAATCTGTCGAAATTAAATAATTCCGGTCAATCGTCGATGGATCGTTTGTACTGTTAGGCTCCCCTCCGAATAAGACTTTTCTCACAAACTAAAGGGTCGTCCCATATGGCTCATCCAGTTGTTTAGTTTGTGATGAATAATATGTGGAGGTGCTTTTAAGCACCATTTATCAGTGTAATTTATTGTGAATTTCTTATGATATTTTGGTGTCTCCTTTCGAATCAACGGTGGCAATATAATGGATCGGAACATCCTTAGCTTTAAGGTAGGATCCAAGAATACTTGCTGGAAAAGATTAAACGTCATATTTGAATTCTATTATATATATATTTTTTGAAATATTGAATTCTATTATATATATATGGAAGGAATCATATGCTGGTGGTGCTTCCCGTGCGGTTGTCCAGGTGGACTCACATTAGGCATTACACTGGCTCACTTTAAATACACAATAGACGCACATTAAACACACAAACAAAATACATTCAGAACACAAAGTCACGCACCTTAAGTACAAAACTCACGCATCTTAAGCACAACCCTCACGCACCTTAAGCACAAAACTCACGTATCTTAAGCACAAAAACACACGCACCTTAAGTTTTAACAACAACTCATATTAAGTAAACACTCACGCACATTAAGTACAAAACTCACGCACCTTAAGCACAAGACTCACGCACTTTAAGAACAAAACTCACGCACATTAATAAACCGCACAATCGCACGGGAAGCATTCAACCCCACTGAATATGTATATATATATATATATATATATACATATACGAACTACTGAAACATTGCACCGCAATTATTATATGATTGTACCGTAACGACTCATATCCAGTGCAATACAATCATTTAATAATTGTAAATTTGCATGTTAAAATCGGTTCGAGATCCGATCTAGATATTAAAGCACCCATATTACTTCCTCTCGACCTCTCGTCATAACTTTTAAGTTAGACTATGAACTAACTACGTTAGCTCATGGGGCTGAATTCGATTATATTGGCCGGGCACATGCATGAACATAAAATAAAAAGTTCCTAGCTAGTATAATTTTCAACATCTGTCGTTACATGGTATGAGGTATGTTCCTGCTAGCCATCATATTTGACTGGAATTTGTCCACGCTGTAGGCTTAATTGGCATATGCGGCCAATTAAGGGAGAATAAATAATTAATTACATACACTAAAAGCTTATTTAATTTTCAAAATGCATGTCAACATCCATGAAAACACTACCCATTATATTGTGTATTTATCGTTTAATGTATGTTACTGATGATTATTTTTTTGCTCTAAAACGCTGAATTTTCAACTCCAACAACTAGACATAGTATTTGGGAGAATGTAATATACAGCACTATCGAGTTTTGAACATTGATATCTTATTTCAAATATTACTTAGGAATAAGGGTCAAATAGACATTGAATTGCACACGAAAATGAAAAAAGTTACTATTTTAATATTAAATTACTATTATTATTTTAAAATAAAATTATTATTTTAATATTAAAATTATTATTTAATAAAATAAAAAATTATTATTTTAATATTATAACCTCTACGTCAGAAAATTAACACGTAAAACAGGTCACTTTGATTCAATTGCATCATTTTGTGTTGTTCAGGGACTCAATTACATATTTTTTGAGTTGAATGACCTAATTGCATTTTTGTGTGTAATTTAATAGCCTATTTGACCCTTATTCCTATTACTTAGCTTACTAAACCATCCGAGTGAGTTAAGCCATATTATTTTCTTAATTTGACTTGAAATTTCCCCCATTATTACAATAGCCTATTTGACCCTTATTCCTATTACTTAGCTTACTAAACCATCCCAGTGAGTTAAGCCATATTATTTTTCTTAATTTGACTTGAAACTTCCTCCATTATTAAAGCGAGTTGCGCTCATGCAGAAAAAGAGTTAACTTTAATTATTCTTTCCAAAAAGGTTGAACCCCAACCCTAAAGGCCATCACATCCCAATTTGACAAAGCAGCTGGGAGGATGTAAATCATGGTAACTCAATAACATGAACCACAGAGGTTAGACCTTTGCTCACTGCGCATAAGGAGTCCCCTCACTTTGAAAGGTTGCTCCCACACTGCCGCTGCTGGTGAGACTCGATCCCTGGTCATTCTTTCCAACCATAGAGGAGAATGATTCCGTATATAATGTTTTTTTTTTTTTTTTTTTTTTTTTTTTGCCTTTTGTCTACTATATATATGAGGTAGATCTCCAAGGGAGATTTAGGGGTTGTTTATCAAAATGAAAAAATGAAAGATTTTCTGAAAAAAATAGAGGATTGCAGAAGTGAAATGATGAAAAATGAAAAACTTGTTTACTAAAATCAATTTATCAAAATGAAAAAATGAAAGATTTTTTGAAAAAAATAGAGAATTGTAGAAGTGAAAGGATGAAAAATGAAAAACTTATTTACTAAAATCAATTTACAAACATAGCTTTCCATCTCCATTCTTTCGTTTTTGTATAATTATATGCAAATGAAAAACTGGACCCCTTACTTTTTAAGTCATAAACTACTTTCTCAACCTAATAGAAGTCCAACCTTATTGTCATTAGACCACAAGGTCTTGGCGCCCAATGTAAGTAATCTATGTAAATATATTTGAATAGTACATGTATTTTTCTTTTATTTTAATTTATAAGGGTATGTAATAATGATAAAAGAGATACTTATAATAGTAGAATGATGAGATTGAAAGGTTTAATGTGTCCAATTGACAAACACAAGTCCCATGTCGGCAAATTAAAGAAAAATTTGTTTGTGTAAATTACACCCTATCAATATATTTGACACGTTTTATATAAATGATCAAAAACAAATGTGCATGCATAGAATCAGAGTGGAGAACACTGCTCTTTTTTTTTTTTTTTTTTTTTTTAATGTATAATTGTTTTAGAAAATAATGGGTGTGTGGGTCACTAGGTTGAACAACTTCATTCGGTCACCCATTGCTGAGGCATGGCCACTTGGGAGTAGGTGGTGCGAGTTAGGTAACGAGATAGACCAATAATGCTCACGTGTATTATTATTGAATAATACTATATTTACTTTTATTTTTAATTTTTTGTTTACCTCATTCTTTACATCACTTAGTTGATTATGTAAAAGAAAAAAAAAAGTAGGCATTTTTATTTTATTTTTAATTTTTTTTTGAAATAAAATTTGATCTGAGAGTTTTTTATTATTCCATCCTTTCCATTTTATGTATATGGTTCGACTAGCGAGGCTTGATTGAAATTATTTTAAAATTTTTTCATGATATTAAGTTTAGTATTAATATAAAAAATTTATATATTTAGATACTAAACTAAAAGCAGTATTAACTATTAAACTCAAAAAAAAAAAGTTAAAAAAAAACTAAAGAAAATAAACGAAAAAAAAATTAATTTGTCTAATAAATAATAAGTATAACGATAAAATGAGACAGAGATTGTACTTCCATATGCAGCTAACATTTTCCAATAATATTAATTAACGAATCTAGGTTGGATTTTTGGTCCCTACCTTCGCTCACTTTTCACTCGTTGATTTTGTTGTCTTCCACGTGCTAATGAAAGGTCAAAGGAGTAACCAAATTACAATTATTATTCTTCCCAAAAGATTGAATCCCAACTCCAAGGGGCCCCAACACCCCGACTCGACAGAATATCCGTGAAGATGTAAAAAATTACAATTATTATTATTTTTTGAGATAAAGGTCAAATAGATCATCAAAGTATACCAAAAACAACAATTGGACCTTCAATCTATAAAAAACTCCAATTGAACCTCCCAACTTGTTAAATTAGTGTAATTCACCCATTTTACCTGTAACCTTACGATTAATGCTGACATAAGCAGTCACGTGGACTAATTTTTTATTTTTTATTTTATTTTTAAAAAGCTACATGTAATCACGCCAGAGACGACTCCGGCAATCTGAGGCTTTAAGCAGCACCAACCCGAGAGCCATTATGGCTGGCCAGGGACAAAAGCAGACGATAGAATCTCCAACTGCGACGGCGACCGGAGACTTCATATATATATATATATATATATATATATATATATATATATATATATATATATATATATATATATATATATATATATATATATATATATATATATATAGCCAGGTTCCTGTGAGAACAAGTCTTCCCGTGCAGTTTACACCATTATGTATGCATAAATGCATCACATAGTGTTTAAAAATACACCATTATGTGTGGTGTATTTTTTTTGGTGTGTGGTGCATTTTTTTACATTTCGTTCTGGTGTACTTTCGAACACTGTATGGTGCATTTATGCATATCTAATAGTGTAAACCGCACCGACCGCACAGGAAGACCTGTTCCCGTGCGATTGTGCAGTTAAATCTGAGCCATTGACCTTGCTTAAATCAACGTCGAGGATTAATAATTTTTTTTAAAAAAAAAAATACGGTGGCAATTTGGTAATTTTTGCATCTAGGTCAAATTTGAGGTGCGTGATTTTTGTGCTTAAGGTGTGTGGTTTGTATGCTTAATGTGAGTAGTTGTTGAAACTCAAGATCGTGATTTTTGTGCTTAAGGTGCGTGATTTTTTTGCTTAATGTGAGTAGTTGTTAAAACTTAAGGTGCGTCAACCTGAAGCTTAATGTGCGTGGTTTTCCTTCCTAAGATGCGTTGTTTTCCTTCTTAAGGTGTGTGTTTTGGTATGCTTAAGGTGCGCCATTTTAAAACCTTAAGTGCATGATTTGTGTTCTTTAGGTGCGTGATTTGTATACTTAAGGTACGTGGTTTCTGTACTTAAGATGCAGCCTAAAGCTTTATGTGCGCGTGGTTTGTGTTCTTAAGGTGCTTTGTTTGTGTGCTTAGGATGCGTCATTTTAATGCTTAAGGTGCATGAATCGCACAATGACATGGGAAGCTATACCCACACTTGAACCCTTCCGATATAACCCAAGTAATACCGAGTAATGATTCAGGTTGGGATTAACTCAAGGAATACCCTACACCCTTCTATTTTAATTTCTTTTAAATTTTTTAACAAGTTCCAAACTTCCAATCAACCCAATTAATACCATACTGAGTGATACAATATACTTTTTTTTTTTTTTTTTTTTTTTTTTTTAGAATCCATACACCATCGATATCATAAACGGCTAGTCTTGACATACATGGAGAGATTTAATTATATTTAATATATTTAATTATAATCGGAATAAGAGTCAAACAGGTCACTCAATTGCACACCAAACTACAATTAGATCATTGAACTCAAAAAATTGCAATTGAGCCATTGAATAACACAAAATTATGCAATATAGTCCAAAATGACCCTGTTTACCTTATGTAGCAAGTTACTGATTTTAAAATTAATTTGTTAAAATAATTTTTAATAATTAATTAATTAAAATATTTTTTTTTTAAAAGGAACTGCCGGCCGGAGAAGAATTTTAAATTGCAGTTTCTATTTTTTTCTAATATTTTAATTATTTATTTATTAAAAATTATTTTAAAAAATTAATTTTAAAATCGGTAACTTGCTAATCAGCTAAACATGTCATTTTATGCTAAATTGCATATTTTTGTGTTGTTCAATGGCTCAATTGTTTTTTTTTTTTTAGTTCAATTGCTTAATTGCAGTTTGGTGTGCAATTGAGTGACTTTTTTGACCCTTATTCCTATTTAATCTAAAAAGACTTTCAAATTTCCATTTTAATACATCTTAAAATGTTTTTCACTTTTTAAAGATAAAATAGGGTTAATTTTAGTTTTGATTCCTTAACTATATGTGCTTTTCATTTGGTTCACAAGTTTAAAGTCGATTAAATTTAATCTTCAATTATTCAAAATATGTCATTTTTAATAGTTAATGTCTTAAAATGACACTTCAAAATATGTCATCTTCAATTATTAAAAATGACACAATTCAAGACTATAATTAATATATTTTAATAGTTAATGTCTTAAAATGACACTTTTTCGATTGAGTTTGTTAAACAAAGTCTTCCTAGTGCTATTTATCTCTTGTGTATAATTTGCAGGTTATTACACAGAAACGGAGTTTACCTTATACATACTCTCGAGTAGTGATGACGGGTTTCTTTATTCATTCAAAAAAAATTATCTAATAAATTTTAAATATGATGACCAAAAGTGAAGAGTGAAATATTTTAGAAATTAAAATAAGAATTTTAATGAATGTAAAACTCAAATAAGAAGCTGTGTTTAAATAAGCAGCATTCAAACAGAGAAAGCTCACCATTAGCCCAAAAGAAAGTAACACTCAACATCTGTCCAAACATCAATCTTAGCCCAAAACGGCCCATCTCATTATTACATCCAAAAGAAATCTAAAAATGACATTTTCTGTTTAAAAATAGGATATATTTCAGTTCAGCAATTATACTGCGGACCGCAGTGCACAATCCATTGTGCACCGCGATCCAAAAACGGCAAGTCGTTACAGTTAACGGAATGCGCGCGTTTGGTGTATTAATTACCAACTGAAACTATAGTGTATCTAAACTGACACTGCCTCACGCATTATTTTTATATTATCAAGTGAAACTGCAATTGAAATGAAATGAAACTATAGTTGTGTTGAAATAAACTGCAGTATATACAAAATGAAACTGAATAACAATTTCATATATTTGAGTGTATATTACCCAGCGAAACGGTAATTATATCAAAATGATACTGTACTTGTGTTGAAATGAAACTGCAGTGTATATAAAATAAAACTGAATAACATTTCACATATTTGAGTGTATATTGTGCAATGAAGCTGTAGTTATATCGAAATGATCATGTAGGTGTGTTTTAATAAAACTATAGTGTATATAAAATAAAATTAAATAACACTTTCACATATTTGAGTGTATAAATATCGAATGAAACTGTAGTTATATCGAAATGAAACTGTAGTTGTGTTGAACTGAAACTGCTGTGTATACAAAATGAAACTGAATAACAGAGTTACTTTTTGCGGACCGGCACGAAACGGGTGCCGTTTCTTTTCATTAAACAAAATGACGTCGTTTAGAAGCTCGGTGCATAATCTATTATGCATAATTCATTATGCTCCGCATGTCATGATATAATTTGCCATTCCAGTTAAATTTACTACATAATATTCACTAGATTAAATAAAAATGCACTATGTCGATAGAAGGTGAATATTAAAATATCTCTCTCTAGCTTTTATGGCTAGCCTTCCCTCTTGTGCACAGTAACAAGCTTTCTTCTCCCTTCTCTCTATTTTTCATCCAACCTCCTTTCCCCGTTCTTTTCTATGGCTACCACTACCCACCATGGCGAAGCATCGAGTTCCTCTGAACATCATGACTCCCCCCCTCTAGCTCCTCAAACGAACTCAGGGACCGCAGCCGAGGATCTGGAATCTGCCTACGCCGCCCTTGAGCTAAATGACGATGAATATGGGGACTGTGAATTCGACCAGAGCATGAATCACAGCCTCATGTTGGTAGGGCGCCTTGTCACCGAGAAGCCTGTGAAGTTTGTTTTCCTACGAGATACGCTGGCAGCAGTTTGGCGTCCAGGCAGAGGAATGGCCGTCAAGGATATAGGTAACAACACTTATCTATTTCAGTTCTTCCATGTGATCGATTTGAACCGTATTTTGGAGGATGGCCCATGGTCCTTTGAGCAGAGTTTGCTCGTTCTGGCGAAAATGCAACCGGAAGTCACTCCACTCGCTATGGATTTGAACAAGGTGGACTTCTGGGTTCAACTTCACGATTTGCCCATAGGTTTTTACTCGGAGAAGACGGCGAAGGTCATTGGTGATCATATTGGCACTTTTATCAGTTTTGCAAACAGTAACTATGAAGGATGGTGGAGACCTTTCCTTAGGATCAGGGTAACTATTGATATATCAAAGCCTTTGAAGGATAAGATGTGCATCAGGAAAACTGGGGGTGAATGGTCGTGGATCTCCTTCAAGTACGAGCGTCTTCCTCATTTCTGCTTTATCTGTGGTTTGATCGGCCATACTGAGAAATTCTGTCCAAAGCTTTTCGAAGGCGTTACCCTGTCAGCGGAAAAACCCTATGGCCCATGGCTTCGTGCGGCTAGCCGCCGTGGATCTCCGGCAGCAGGTAGCCGTTGGCTTGTGCTAGACGACGACCAGCGAAATACGACAAATCAGCGTGTCAGACAAGGACAGGCGAGTGCTACGGCAGAAGATGGTGGGGGTACATTGCCTGGTACAGCGTACGACCGGATCATTGCTCAGAATACGGAAGGGATGGCGGACCAACACGTGTCACCCATGGTAACAGATGTCACCAATGTTGGTGATACTTCAGACAGTGATGGGCTGATCATATTGGAACAAAAAAGGAGAAGGGTTGAGGCTGATGGGCCTACACCTCAGCCCACATTGATCCCTGCTGATGTTTATGGGCTTCTTTCAAAAAATGGTTTAGGGGCGGGACCTGTGGACCAGGCCCGCCCAGATCAATGAGTTGTTTAGCTTGGAACTGTCGTGGGCTAGGGAATCCGGCGACAGTTCAGGTTTTAGTGGACCTTGTCCACTCTAAGAAACCCAACCTTATATTTCTACAGGAGACTTTTATGGACCTTAGTAAGTTACAAGGCATTAAAAATAGACTGGGCCTGACTGGGCTTTTTAATGTTGATTGGGTTGACCGTAGAGGAGGCCTTGCTTTATTCTGGAAGGAAGGTACTGAAGTAGACATTAAATCCTATTCTATGCATCACATTGACGCCGAGGTGTGTCTGAGCTCTGGCGATTGCAGATGGAGATTCACAGGTTTTTATGGTGTCCCGAACAGACAAGAACGTTCAGTCTCTTGGAATCTTCTAAAGCATCTATCCTCTCTCAACACCCTCCCTTGGGTTGTTATGGGGGACTTTAATGATATCCTAAAACCGGAAGAAAAAAGGGGAGGCAATCCACAACCACGGAGACTCATTGAAGGTTTTAATGAAGCGGTCGAATTCAGTGGTCTAAGTGATTTCAGCTTCCATGGTCACCAATTTACATGGGAGAAATCAAAGGGAACTCCTAATTGGATTGAGGCGAAGTTGGACCGGGTTCTTGTCTCTGATTCTTGGCGTGAGACATTCTCCCAGGCGAGGGCTTTTTCAATTGTTGCAGCAAAGAGTGATCACTCACCTCTTCATCTACAGATTCTACCCTCTATTCTTCCTTCAGGGAGAGGACGCTTCCGGTTCGAAAATTTGTGGCTCAGGGACTCTATGTGCCGGGAAGTCATGATACAAAGCTGGTCTCAAACTCATGGTCACCAACTTCTGGACAGAATTGGCCGCTGTGGAAAAGCAATCTGGAATTGGGGGAAGAATTTCGCAAAGGATTTTACCCGCAGATTAGATTTCTGGAAACGCCGAATGGAAAATACCAAACACAGAAGGGATGCTCGTGGGATTCAGCTCTTTAAGGAGGCGCAATACCAGTATTTGCTTGTTCTCCGGCAACAAAACGACTATTGGCGTCAGAGGGCGAAACAGTTCTGGTTACAGGAAGGTGACACGAATTCCTCCTTTTTCCACAATTCTGTGCGTAGGCGCCGGCAAAACAATCAAATTGATAGGCTCAAGAATGATGATGGAGCTTGGGTAGAAAAAGGTACTCATCTTGACTCTCTTGTTACTCAGTATTTTGCTAATATTCTTGATTCTACGGACACTACCATGTCTTACCCTATTGAGGGTCTTAGTGCAAAGATTACGGATGCCCAGAATGCTATTCTTGTTAGACGTGTATGTCTCCAGGAGGTAAAAAATGCCCTGTTTGATATGAAGCCTGATAAGTCACCTGGACCCGATGGTTTAAGCCCGGGCTTCTTTCAACATTTCTGGGATATTATATGCTCTGAATTATTATCTTTTTGCAATGAGTGTTTCACAAATGGCAAACTCCCAGCTGGTCTTAATCTCACCCATATTGTTCTTATACCCAAGAAAACAAAGCCTGAATCCATGAATGACCTACGACCTATATCCCTCTGCAATATTCTTTATAAACTGGTCTCAAAGGTTTTAGCCAATCGAATCAAGCCTTTTCTAACCCAAATTATCTCAGATTCCCAAACAGCTTTTGTCCCAAGAAGACTCATTACTGACAATATAATGATAGCCTATGAGATGAACCATTATCTGAATAGGAAGAGACAAGGGAAGGTTGGTTATGTTGGCATAAAGTTGGATATGAGCAAGGCTTTTGATAGAGTCAATTGGAATTTCTTGAAAGCTATCCTATTGCAGCTTGGTTTTTCTGCTTCTATTATCAATCTCATCTGGGAGTTTATTTCTACTGTTGAATTCAGAATATTGTTGGAAGGCAGAGAGGTGGGGTCCGTTTATCCTAAGAGAGGCCTGAGGCAAGGGGATCCTTTGTCCCCCTACCTGTTTATTATTGCCTTAAAGGTTTTCCATTCTATGATCCAACAGAAAGTTGATGTGGGTGCTGTTCATGGTGTTTCCATTGCCAGGAATGCACCCGTTATTTCTAATCTCTTTTTTTGCAGATGATTGCTACATATTCTGCAGAGCCACCCCCTCTGAGTGCTTGATCATACATGACATAATTGATAATTTTGCACTTGCTTCTGGTCAGCTTGTAAACTACAAAAAATCCAGCCTCATCTTCAGCAGAAATGTCTCCCAGGACAGTAAAAGCGAGGTCTGTGCAACTTTGAACATGCGTGAAGGGAACATGAATGGAAATTATCTAGGGTTGCCATCA